AGTGAAAACTCCCGGCTGTATCCTGCCTCCGGCACTTGATGCGATTATGAACAGAAAAATATAGTACAATTATTACAAGGAAATATGTTGAATATTAATTATAAGCACATCTTAATCAATCTTCTTCCTTGTAGTATCAAACTACATGTCATGATCTCTAGATGGTAGTTGTTATCGCTTATCATTAAATTAAATTAAACTAATATCATGCCCGCTAAATCATTACCTAATTAATGATGAATATAAAGTCGTCTTATTTCATGTGTTTCTTATAATTTTATTATAAATCTAGTTATGTTATGTCATTCGTTAATTGTATGCTTAATTAGCTTGAAGAATTAGGACCACTCGTTTATATAAAAATAATAATGGGCTCACTCAGATTTGGTTTAGTGAGAATTGATTTTAGAACAGTCGTATTTGAAAAAATATATATGACTAAAATCATAAAACATTTTAGACGCTGTCACATATGTAAAATTAATATATTAATACGTTGAAAATCAGATCCCTATGACTCAAAATATTGCAGCAGCATCCCACGTGAATCTCTTCCAAATTTATATTTAATCATTGCATTTCGACAGTTCAGCAAAAATAAAAAAAATAAAAAAATTCACAACTTGAAATTATTACTCTTTTCAGAGTTTTTTTTTTCTTTACTTAATTAATTTGACATATTTCTCGATAACAACGTCAGCATTTACCTGTTTATTGGCAATTAAAACTCAGATTTCTTTTTTAATATACTTTTTGTACGTAGTTCATCGAGGCTTCTTCCCCAAATATGAGTATTATAAGTGAAAATGTGCGATTAAGAACCCATCCGACTTAAGTGATTAAAGTAGCTGATAAATATTAAACGATAATAAAATTTTTAAAAGTCCATTTAACTTTAGTCTTTAATAAGGGTTTGCAATTCAATACTGGTGAGTGTGATCGTTAATAAAAGATTCAGTAACCATGCGTGAAATTCATCCCTTGTACTTCTCGTTTATTTTTTATTTTATTTTCTAAGCAATAAAATATGATTTGCTTAAAATTCATGATTTTTACAAGTAAACTAATTCTGTGGGCGGTTTTGCTGGTAGTGGTAGAAGTAGAAACGCTACTATAGTATATCCTTAGTTATGTATTTCCAACCACTACGATAAACACATAAAAGTATTTTGACTAGTATTTTGTTATTTTGTCTTTACCAATTTTCAGTTAGCCTATAGGACACTCAAAATTAAAAGTTTCTAGCTAGTACTAATGCCTTTTGATTGATTGAGGAGGTGCATCTTCTCCGAATAGTGACAGATAGAATTTAGATGTTGTGGATTTTGACAGGATAAATTATATATTTAATTTTATTTATATATTTTGAGTTTAGAGAAAGAATCGAAATTTAAGCTTGATGATTTTAATTTTTGAGATTCTTAGCACGAAACTCATTCTATATTTAAAATTATGAGTTTAGAACATGATATTGGTTGAACTTTAGTGAGTTTTCACTATATGTCCATGCACCACGTAAAAACTATTGAGTTCAAATGGATATGTTTGCCCAAGAGTTAGCATCCGTTGGTGTAATCTATAGGGTTCAACATCAATGGATTGAGTTTTACTGAATATGAGAACTCGTAGTTGGATATGCAACCGACTTAATCGTCCCTTAGCCGCCAAAAAAAAGAAAGTAAGATGTTTATTACGTATTTAAGTTACAATTGTAAAAAAAAAGTACGAGTTAGCTAGTTTTCGAACTGGTAATTAAAAAATATTTAACGTTTGCAAAGTCATTGAAAAATAGTCACTATTTTGCTGCAACACGGAAAATTTCAGCATAATATACTAGAAATTGGTGCACCTATGTATGAACTTCCAGCATATTATGCTGGAACTCCAGCATACGGAAAGTTCTACCATAATATACTAGAGATTGGAGCACATGTGTATGAACTTCCAGCATATTATGCTGGACCAATATATTATGCTGGAACTCTAGTATATTATGCTGGAAGTTCACATGTAAAAAATTCGAACTCCAGTATATTATGCTAGAATATTTTTCGGATTTTGAACAATGTTTTCGTTCAGATTTATCTTTACATGAAAAGTGGCTAAATTTTGATTACTTTTGAAATCGTGGCTATTTTTCAATTACCACTTGTAAATCTGGCTATTTTTTAATTTCACCCGTTACAATTTGACCATAAAATTATAGAGCAACCTGCGGGCGATGTGCACAGATAGCCAGTAATAACACATGTATTTACTTTTAAGCCACTATTTTAAATGTATTTAGTCTTTAGCCACTACTTTAATAAACTTTTACCCGCCCGAACGAAAATACCCTTCTGCTATATAGGATTTCGCTGATACATATGCTCCTTATTCACGATCAGCAGCAGCTCAAACTTATGTGCAAACTTACGTGCAGAGAATTAATGTGATCGTCCAAAATTGCAGAATCTTCTCTTCCGATTTCAAACTTTTTGTCTAAGTTCAGAATTCAACTTTCTCGTTCAAAATTTACCATAAAATTACAGTAAGTTCTAAAGTTTCAGATATCTCTATATGCTTTTGTGTGTTTGTGTAAATTTTTATTTCGTTACTGAAGAATAAGATGCTAGGAATTTAATTTTTTTTTCTTTTCTGTATTGATAACGTTAAGGACACCGCGTCCTTAACTCTGTGATTGTTCTGTAAATATTGAGGACATAATGTTAAGGATATGGCGTCCTTAACATGACTGTTGTTCTAAAAAATATTAAGAATAAAGTGTCCTGTATTTTGCAACTTGTATTAATAAAGTTAAGGACACGATATCCTTAACTTCATGACTGTTGTTCTAAATATTAAGGACATAGTGTCCTGTATTTGCAAATTATATTAATAAAGTTAAGGACACGTTGTCCTTAACTTCATGACTGTTGTTCTAAATATTAAGGACACTATGTCCTTAACATTTTCACTGCACACATCAAAGTGAAGGACACCATGTACTTAACATTTTTACTGCACACATCAAAGTTAAGGATAGCTTGTCCTTAACATTTACACTGCAGATATCAAAGTTAAGGATAACTTGTCCTTAAAATTTTTACTGCACACATCAAAGTTAAGGACAACTTGTCCTTAACTTTTACAATGCACACATCAATGTGTAGTGAAAATGTTAAGGACATGGTGTCCTTAACTTTGATGTGTGCAGTGAAAAAGTTAAGGATATGGTGTCCTTAACTTTGATGTGTGCATTATAAAAGTTAAGGACATGGTGTCCTTAACTTTGATGTGTGCAGTGAAAATGTTAAGGACATGGTGTCCTTAACTTTGATGTGTGCAGTAAAAATGTTAAGGACATGATGTCCTTAACTTGGATGTGTGTAGTGAAAAACTTAAGGACATGGTGTCCTTAACTTTGATGTGTGCAGTGAAAAAGTTAACGAGATGGTGTCCTTAAAGTGAAAAAGTTAAGGACATGGTGTCCTTAACTTTGATGTGTGCAGTGAAAAAGTTAAGGACATTGTGTCCTTAACTTTGCTGTGTGCAATGAAAATGTTAAGGATATGGTGTCTTTAACTTTGATGTGTGCAGTGAAAAAGTTAACGAGATGGTGTCCTTAAAGTGAAAAAGTTAAGGACATGGTGTCCTTAACTTTGATGTGTGTAGTGAAAAGGTTAAGGATATTGTATCCTTAACTTTGCTGTGTGCAGTGAAAATGTTAAGGATATGGTGTCCTTAACTTTGATGTGTCCAGTGAAAAAGTTAACGAGATGGTGTCCTTAACTTTGATGTGTGTAGTGAAAATGTTAAGGACGTGGTGTCCTTAACTTTGATGTGTGTAGTGAAAATATTAAGGACATGGTATCCTTAACTTTGATGTGTGCAGTAAAAATATTAAGGACATGGTGTCCTTAACTTTGATGTGTGTATTATAAAAGTTAAGGACATGATGTCCTTAACTTTGATGTGTGCATTGTAAAAGTTAAGGACATGGTGTCCTTAACTTTGATGTGTGCA